CCGCGTGGTAGCCGAAGGGCTTGACTGGCTAACTATGGACGCTGTCTTACTCTATCATCCTATTCACCCTCTCATTGTCATTCCTTACCATCTGCCGGAAGTCTTGTTGGTATTGGAACATATTGGTATTATTGGCATCATCGACTCTCTGCCTGGGTAGAGCAGGATGAATCGAGTTGCGCTACCGTTTTCAGGTACTCCGCCTTTGTCCTATTATCCCGTCAAAGTGTATTGAAAGCTTTTCTTGGGTGTTGTTGTTGTTCAATTCGGTCCGAGGTGGCACCCTCACATGGTTTGTTGAGATTTGGCAGTGATTCAGCTCACACTGTTTAGCAAGATATGAGACGCAAAGGTGATGGAATTCTGCTCTGAGAACAGAAGACCTTAAAATGAAAGTTATATTTGTAGGGAAAAGATGCAGGACAACGCTGACAGACACTTTTTGAGGCTGGTTACTACGCAGCCAGCATATTCATAGGACTCAGGCACCGTTTTGGTAGTCAAATTGTGCACGAGAGTAGCATTATTTTTGTTTTGGTGTAACAATACCAAATACTAGGTTTTAGTTCATAAACTTTGATCTATACTAAAGCGCATGAACGCATAATTCCAAACACGAATCTCGAGCATAACAAACACTGACACATCAGCAAAATACGTAAATATATTTACAAACACCCATTTGACCGGCTATACTAAGGGGGCGTTATGCGGTGGTGCTATGAAGCCAGGGCACATCGTTGTTGGGGAATCCCCAATAGGGGGGGTCGTATTTGGCCGCCAGGAGGGGGGTCGTATTTGGGCTGGGAAAAATTTATTTTGATAGTTGATTTTTCTCGCTTCACGGACGTTGTAAAGGGGGGGGGGTCGTACTTGGTCATTGTTGGGAGGGGGGGTCGTATTTACGTTTTGGCGTTGTAGGAGCGGTGGTTGACTTTTTGTGATTTTCCTGATTTTCCTGTTTCATGCGTACTATATACCTAAATACCCCTCCCCGCTCGACGGCTCGATTCGATGAGGAGGGACAGAGGGCCGGAGGGGGGGGGGTCGTACCAACCCCCAAAAAAAGGGGGTCGTACAGACTCGACTAAAATCCCCAACCGAATGATGTGCCCTGTATGCAGCTAACCGCGGACAGGATGCCTCCACAGGAAACACTACTCTTCCTTCCCTTCCTGTGGACTACGACTGCTCTTCCCCTCCCGATTTCTCCTTACTGATGACCAAACTGTGGCCGATTCCCACTATTCTGTACATGAACAACCATCACCTCTTGGAGGTGCAAATCATTTCACGGTAGACAAAGCTTCGGCATTAATGGTAAGTAATATTTGGTGGCACTTACGTACACTCCATATGTCGCGTACTTCATTTGAACGTGGCGGCAGTTGCGCTCCCAAAGGGAGATTTCCGTCTCAGAACAGTTGCAACCATTTTTTGACAAAACACGATAGGAAAACATTTATATCAAATGATAAATAAACTCATAAACAAGGCACGGTCCTATCGCCCATGTTTACGGTAGTAGCAGGCGGCGCCCACTTCCAATCGATGTGGAATAATCAGCAAGTTAAGTAAGCGAAGATTAACTAGTACCTTTCGGCATACCCTCACGGTTATTGGCTTGTCTACGAACTCCTTACAAATAAAAATCGCGGTATAAACCCTGTGAGGCGGAGGGTGGTGTAGTGACAAGGCGCGCTTACCATCGCTCGCGCCGGGTGCGCCGGAGGTAACGGTGTGAATTGGTACCAGATTCGTCTGGAGGATAAAACACTGACTTGTACAGCGGCAAGTCATTGTATAGGCCACATGGCATTCAATAAGCCACTACGATTCTGAATGGAAGTGAATGCGTGCCGGCCATCCGCACAAAAGGAATTGATCAACGGCAAAGATTTGTTGAACCCTTATCGCAAACTGTGGAATAATGTTTGAGTAGCCGGAATAGTTTCCCACACAGTATTAGTTGGGAGAGGAAATCTGAGGTTACGCGGTTTGGTCATCGCCTAAATCTCATGATTATTGCTACGTTGCCAACTCTCCAGTATTTTAGATCAGAACGCATCCAATCCCTTCAGTAGATTCGCTGACTTTCTGGTTTGAGCACAAATGCCATTTAGTCCGCATAAGTTCAAAGGTGAATCCGTTCACTTTCTGGGTGAGTAACCTACGGGGAAACGATAGTAGTTTTTAGCTTGTTTATTCAGTTCAGTTCAAATCTGCTTTCGACCTAAGTAACAAATCTTCTACACCTCACGATGGAATCTGTAAATTGGTAGAGCGATTGTCATTTTATAAAAACACCGACGTAGTATCGACTAGCCCTCTTCGTCCTCCCCCCCCCACAAGTGATCAGCCCATTCCAAAGCACGACGGTCCGTTGAATGAGTGCTGCATCTCCGATTCTCCTTCCCCATTTTTATCCATGAAATGATCCAAAGTGTTGAGGTGTCTATCTAATTCATGGAAAAAAAACTTCCCAAAAAAGGTTTCGGTTGCATTCAAACACGTGCCGGGGGAGAGGTGAAGGAACACTTCGAGGCTTCTTAATTTTTGTATCCAAAGTAAGTTGGTATTGTATTCAATTTGAAGTATTCTCGTGTTCTATATAAATATCTAATTTACTTGTATTTATTTTTATTTGTATTTTATCTTTATTCTTTTCTGATGGAATCCTGTATTTAGTATTTGTGCCAGTACCAGGCCGCTTATTAACTAATCAAAAAGGCGCTTTTAAACTACTCTCATCGCTACTATTTACAGTTTGCTACGTTTAATTGCTTATTTGATTTTTTGATTGTTTGAGTGGGACTTCTTTTCTACCTGGACATCATAGAGCACGAATTTCATTCAGAACATGATGCTGCGTCGAAACTATATATTTGGGAATATGCTCATATCCCACCTTGATTGTATACTCCAGTGACTCGTTTGAGACAATTTGCAGGATAAATCCCGAAAACGTGAAGAATTAATACGCTGAGCAGGACCGAATTCGGCGCCGCTCAACAGGCGCTGCGTGCTGCCTTTTCCAGGGATTCCCCAGGAAAACCCTTATAAGGATTGCTATGCCTGCTCATGATAGAAGATTTAATTCAGGAGGAATGTGATCTTAGCTTTTTCTACCAACAGGATTGTGCTTCGATTCATGATGTCGGAATAACTGTCCAGTTCCTCCTGACCGAAATCGCTTCATTTCTGGCCGAGGATTTTCTAGCAATTCGGATCTTAATCTTTCAGGCTTGCATGTATGCGGAGTAATGAAGCACCAAGTAAGGTAAGCCAAATTTTAGTGATTTTGTAAAGCAAACAAGTTTTGGAATTACTGCTTGATTCAGACGTTGACTACCTCTGCTGCTCTATTGACTAGATGAAGGGACGAGTTAAGTCCTGTATCAAACTGATGATATAACCTCGAAAATTCTCTATGGTTGGAAAATGCCCTCGTTCATACTTTTAAATGATTTTCTTCAGAGGCGCACCAACAAAGAAGAAAACGGAGTTGCAGCGTTTTTTTATGACGCCTAATTTTTCGCTACCCTGTATGTGGACATTCCTTCATTTGTTTTGTTCTGCTTTGTTCTTTCCTTGAAAAAAAAGAGAAAATAAACCAACTAACTAATGGGAATCTACACATCAATCCCAATCAAATTGTCGTAGGACTTCCCGATAAACCTATTTAAATTACAGTCCTCTAACAAAACCTGGGTCTTCTGAGTGAGTCTACCAGTTTTCTCGAGGGTAGTACTCTTGATGCAGTTGCATTATTTGTAGATATCTCTTTCTCTGTCGGCCCCCTGAGTACTGAAAATAAACATTTTTTGAACCTTATTGGATCAGTCGACCATATTACATACCTACTGGACCAACTTACTCGATAATTGCCACTGATGAGAATAATTGGAATACTGAAACGGTGTAGAGAGTCGGTCTAGAAAATGATTGGCCATATGGGAGGTTGTGAACGATTCTTCTCCTTGATCGACGTGTTCAGTGTGAGCTCTCGATAAAAATGTCCACAGCAAAATCTGGTAAGTTTGGCTCGAATTTATTAGGTTGACCGGAAAGTTTCCCGCCATTGAATTGGTGAGGAATCCATCGACCAAGCTTTGCTACCTTGCCGAGCTTTTCTAGTCCACGTGCAACCGTCGAATGATCATAGCTAAGCATGGTCGCCATTTCTCTGGTGGTGAGGTACGGGTCCTCCTCCACGGTGGAACGTAGTAACTTCAAATCCAACTCCATCGGCCGGCCGGACCTTGGAGCATCTTGGCTCCTTTCTTGAACGCAATTGTCATGTAAGAGATGACGTCCTCACCGTATGTATCCACCAGCTTGGCTGGGCTTCCTTTGCGTTAAGCCAGACTGATGAAGGAAAAGAAGACAGTGCCTCAGGTGCATCCTGTCGGGTTGAAACTTGGGCGGCATTTTGGAATCCAAATGCAAGCTGGGTGAGTGTGAGGTAGTGATGTGAAAGTCTCTTGCGTGCTTCATGCACACCCAACGATAAGTCATAAACATACGCCGAACGACATACACCCCGGTCCCCCTGTTGGCGCAGTGCCAGCGTAGGTCGATCAAGTAGCCGATCAAGTTAATCAAGTTATTAACAAACGTGGACGAGTTGCCCTGTACACGACACGCATCGCATCAGCGGACTGAGGGTGTCAATTACTGCCGATGCCCCCCAATGGCAATCCGGCCGCGCCGAACGCAAGGCTAATATGGCGCGATCACACACGTGGCGGGAAACTTTCCGGTCAACCTAATATGACCGACATTGATTCTTGAACTGGCCTAGGATGGCAATGGTGCGTCTCATATCATCTCTTTGCCTTCGTAATCGTATTCTTATTCTTTAGTGCTTCATCAAAACTTGGATTGTTTGACTCTACCGCATGGCCATTACACATTTAGAAGAGCTCTCTGTCAAAGGCGACCATTCGGGTATCCGGTGTTTTCCGAGAGAAAGGGCTTATTTAACGTATGAGCTTCTGTCACTTATTGATGGTTAAGCAGGCTTTCTTGGCTGCGTTGCGAACCCGAAGGGTTTGGTTTTGGGCTGAAGTTTCAATACTATTGGATTGTTTGTATATCCTGGATGAATTTTGTTTGGGGCAAGAAAACAAAAGAAACAATTTTGTTGAAGCAAAAGTCATTTATTCGTTATCAGTTTCATCAGTGCAGCGAATCCACTGTTTCCGTACATCCTATCTTCCTGGTCTGTAGCGAGGTGTTGTTGTGTAGGGGGGCTGTGTCGTGTACGGGGGTTGTGTGGTGTATGGAGGTTGTGTGGTGTACAGGAGGTGATGTGTATGGGGGTGTAGTGGTGTACGGAGGTGGTGTTGAAGAAGCATAAGGCGGTCGGCACTGAGGAACCGGGCAACTGAAACAGACAGTCGTAGAAGCTACAGATCGGAGTTCTTATTTCTATAAGACTATCAGAGATAGATTTCTCCTATTTCCTGAAGTATAAGACTCATTCTTGCGTGCATACCTCTACCCCGTGCGGAATAACTGCTCGTTTTGCTTTACTCTCGATGTATTTGCTTGTCTTTGTCTATGGAAATGATCTACACTTTGTATCCTCGGCGCAGGTAGGTCGTATTCGCGCATTTCGTGCAGTATGTAGCAGCCACTTTGGAAAAATAGGTAGTTTCTGCTAGCGAGAAGAGTCGGTGTTTCCGCTTGGAAGCTGATGACGCTCAACTAATGAGCTTGAAGCTTGACAAAGTCGAGCACTATCCCGAAGGACCAAAAATCGTCGAGGCCGCCACTACGCGCGCCACCGAGTCCGCAATTACGACCCTGACTCACCGTGGGATATAGGATGTTCATATACTGAAAATGTGAAAAATGTATCTGGACACCAGTTGGAGGACTAAATTACCCAAAAAAGACCAAAACGGCTGCTTTTGCGGAAATTTTTCGCGCGCATTGGCCCATGCGTATCTGCGACATTCCAAATGTAGTGTGTCTTTGCAGTCCGTCGGGGTAAGGTGAGGAAACGTATAACGAGCCCATTCCTGGCTACGCTTTCTACCTATAATGATCAGTCTCGGAAAAAAA